TAGCTCAATATTCATTTCAAACATGGATTTAAATATTAGTTTTTGTTTGTGTAATAGATTATTTAGTGATCTAATACAACCATTTACATTTTCTTTGAATTTAAAATTTTCTTTAACTCATTCTATCATGAAGCTCTAAATCTCATCCTTTACAAGGCAACTTCAAAATGCATTCCTTTATCTATAACCTTAGTTTCTTAGCTATGTTTAATGATTTGTAATGAGATAATAATTTAAAATGGTGTGCCTGTGCTTCTTTTACCATTTCATAAAATATGATTATATATTTTGCATATTTKAAAATGTTTCCACCATGTCTATAATTTCTACAATATTTTTTTTTTGATAGATAAAAATTCATTAGATTTCATTAGACACAAAGAATAAAGAGTCTGTTACAAGCATCCTAATATGAGGCGCAAGGTGCAGCCGCACTCGTTAATACAGAAATTGTCAACATATTTCTTATATTTGGACGACCGACATTTCTACGGACACCAACATTTTAAACCTTGAGCGAATTTGGAACATGAAAGTTTAAGATTTTATGGGAGGGGGGGAGTAGGTGGACTGTTTTATCCTTTTTTTTATTGGTTAAGGTATGCGTCTCTCAAAGGTTTCTTTTTTTTTTTTAAAATTTTTCCAATTGTTCCTAAAAGGTGTTTTTTTCTTTATGTGGGTTGCAGTTCTAGCCATGATTTTGACAATAATCACCTTGCAGTAAGAGGAATGGAGCTTGAGAATATTTGTATACTGTGAGTGCTTTGGAGGAATTGGTTCCTCAATGAAAAATTTCTACCAGGCCTGGTCTTGTTAATACTTTAATTTACATTGGTTCATCTCAAGACATGCTCATGATGATCTATTTTAGGTGCGTTTTAGGTTTCTGTTCTTGTGGTGTATATAAATATCATAGTTTTCAAGGCGCCAAGGCGAGGCTAGGCGACAGGGGGGCGCCTTGTTGCCTAGTCGCCTAGGCGATGAATTTTTTTAGTTGAAAACATAGATCCTAGGGTAGTTCTCTAGGTACCATAACCATATTTCCTTAATAATTATTCATAATTTTCATAAGAAAAGTATAAAGTTCATATTAAAGTATATAAAATCAACATATTCATGAGAAGAAAAAGAAGGAAAATAAAATTCAAAAAATATAGGAGATGAACCCTTATTTTTGTTATAGGAAAAGAAGAAAAGAAAAAGTAATGGTAGTAGTAGTAGTAGTGGGCGCCTTGTTCCCTTGTTATCATTGTTTTCATGCGTTGTTATACTCATTGATCCTGTATTAATACTTGGGTGATTGGTTTCATCTGATCTTGAGACATTGAGTCAAAGTGTTTGTTCTGCATTAGAGGTCATATTTTGTCTTATTCTGCTTCCTCATTTTTGTTTTGTTGTTCTTTTTACTCTTGGCATTTAGAGGTTCAATGGAATTGTTGAATCCATGGGTTGGGAAGATGTTCTATAGGGATTGAAGGTAGGCATAAAAGGAATGCATGGACATAGCCCGGGTTCTGCTATCTTAGTAAATGCAGAGGTTGACTCCATGGGAGGAGTCATTGATGGTGGAGTTGGTATTGATAACAAAACCTCTCCACGCCAAGCAGCAATTGAAAAAGCTCAAGCGGAGCTAAGGTAACATTAATTTACTTTGTGTTTTTTCTTCCTTCTTCATCGTTTGAGTGGTCATTTGATAAAAAAGTTTACAATTTGTTACTTTTTTTATTTTCTTTTTTTTTGGGGGGGGGGATCACAGACAGGAGTATGATGTTCGTGAGGAGCGAAGAAGAGAGCTAGAATTTCTTGAGAAGGTAAAACTGTGTGGTGTCTGTGCTACTTTTTCTAATTTAAACATACATAATTGGTTCTAAATCTGCACAACTTATATTGTTAAAAGCTTTCTTCTTTTGCAGGGGGGCAATCCATTGGATTTCAAGCTTGGACCTGCAACTTCTTTTAGTGTTCAGTCAACATCCTTTACTGATCAACTTGCAGAACAGTTTGTGACCAGGTAAATTGTTAGTCTTGTGTTAATTAGGTTGTTGGATCACTAGTTGTGCTGGTAGTTTCTTGATTCTAATAGCTTGCTATGGTCTTACAGTGAAGCAAAAGGTAGCTTTGCATTGGCTGCTTCACCACATGGAGATTCTGTTGAAAGTAGTGGCAGGCCAGGGGCTCCATCAGGTCGCGAGCAGAATAGTGCCGATAATCTCTTGCTGTTTGATGGTGAAAATGACTTAGTTGAGAGTGAGAGAAATTCTGTAAATCCTAGCAGAAGGAACAATGTTGCTCCATCAGAACAGTCTTCTCAATTGGATGGGAACCATAATGCAAAGGAATCTGAAGACTCTTCGATATTACGCTTTGTGGTGAAGAGTCAGGCATATGCTCGAAGGAACAGGTCCAAAACAAGTCGTGATGCTTCTCGAGCTTGCTCAACAGATTTAGTTCAAGGTGGTGATGGTAATGTGTCTTCAAGTTTACCTTCTCGCCATGGTTCAAGAGATGCAAAGGTGTCAATATGTGAAACAAAGAGTCAAAAGGACCACAACTCTGCATCATCCATTTGTAACTCAAAATCCACAAATCCAAATGGTAATGGGGTTTTCAAGACTCTTGCTTCTGATAATCAGTTGGATATGGAATTGGATCCTGTGAAGGTTAATAAAACTGCGACTAAAACTTGTCTAGCTGATGGTGGGCATGATGTTAAAGCTTTGAAAGACTTGCAGGATGGCAGGCATAATCAAAACCTGCTAGTTGACAATGAGAAGGTTCCTAACACCATGGTTTTGAAGACATCTGATTTGGTTGGAGATAAAGATGGTGCATCAGCTGCTCCTGATTGTATACCTAGTGAAGCTGCAGGAAAGACCGAGAAATTTACTAGCACTGGTGAACTTAATGGGTTTAGTGTTCCAAATATGGATGGAAAAGACATGCAAAATGAAGGTCAAAATGGTTCTGCAGCCTTGGGTACAAAGGCTCTAGACTCAGAATCCTCTTGCTCTCAGATTAGCCCTAGCTTAAATGGGGATACTACTACTGACCAGAGCCTAAATTTAAAGGTCAATTCTAATGGAAATTCTAAAGAGCAGACATTAGTGGCTCAGTATCCTGGCATAGCGGATGTTGATTTGGTGAAACAAAATAATGAAACCAATGCAGTTGATGCTTCTGCTGTTTCCAATGATGAACTTAATTGTGTTCACAAAAACTTAAGCAGCAATGGTTCTCAAGTAAAACTTGAGGAGGAAATGTCTATTTGTAGATCTGTTTTGGAGAATGAGGAGAAACTTGCCAATCAAAAAAGCGAGGAGAAACTTGTCAGCCAAAAAAGTGAGGAGAAACTTATCAACCAAAAAAATGATGAGAAACTTCTTACGAATGTTGAGGGCTTGGAACCCAATGACCAAAACCATTTGAAAACAGATAAAAAGAATCTATCAATTGATAATTCCTATTCCAAGAAAACAGGCTCATACCCTCAGGGTAGACCTTCAAGCACCAAAGCTTCCTCAAGTTATGAGCCTCCTGAGGCTACTTTTTCTGGAAGGGGCCCTTCAGCTGCTTCTGAGCTTCAAACATTCACAGGGAATCATTTAAAACTAGCAACCAAGGCTCATGAAGATTCTATTTTGGAAGAAGCCCGTACTATAGAGGTTATCTCTAAGGCTTTTTGTGTCTGATTTATATGCACACATGTTTCTTTTTGAAGGTCTGACACATTCCTGTAAACAGGCTAAGCGCAAAAGGATTGCTGAGCTTTCTGTTGGTAATGTCCCTTTGGAGAACCGAAGAAAGTCTCACTGGGATTTTGTCCTTGAGGAAATGGCATGGCTGGCAAATGACTTCATGCAGGTATGTTTTGAGTACATGTTTGTGTGTTCATTTCTTTTCCTTTTTCTGTTAAGGATAGCTGAGCTTTTTTTTGTTTTGATTTTATAATTAACAGTATGTTTTATTAATTCATTTTTTTTTGAACATTTTTAATTAGCTTATTATGTTTTCTAGGGTATCCATTTTTGGAGGTGTGTTTTAAGCTTGCTACTTTTTCATTGGTCTTTTTTTGTAAGTACTTTTTTCATTGGTCTTGTCGATAGGAACGTCTTTGGAAGACAACGGTAGCAGCTCAGATAGGCCATTGGGTTGCTGTTAGTGGTCGCCTGAGGTTTGGCGAAAAAGTTCTGTGTCAGAAGCAAAGAAAACTAGCTAATATTTTGGCAAAAGCCATCTTGCAGTTCTGGCATTCAGCTATGGTGATACTAAATGGTGAAGACTCAAAAGTTGGCCTTAAGGAAGGCAAAGAAGTTTTGGTTGGCTCACAGGAGGTTAATGCTGATGAAGCTGTTATGAATAAAACTGGACAACCCAATAAAATGGTGATTCTTTGATTATTTTGGTTCTTTTTCCAATAGTGCCACTATTCCTATTATGGTTTTGCTTGTTCATAATTTACATTTAATGTTATATGCAATATAATTAATTGTTGATGCTTTCCTTCTTTGGATGTCATTTACAATTTTAGGTCTAAATTTAGTTTGGAATTTATTCACTTGTATAATTACACTATGATCAAACTGTCAAAAAGACATTTATAACTACACTGATCAATATTTTATTTACCTGGTCTGACTTGTATTTCTGGCTTGATCTTCATAGTCTCCAGAACTATATGTTTGAAGTGATTTAAAACTAATTAGTAATTAAAACAAAATTACTTTATAACTGTTATATAACAGAATTATTTATTTGTTTGCATGTTCTTTTCCCTCTAAATGATATGTGAAATATATCCATACACACATGCACACATACTGTGAAATCCTTAGGCATCTTTAAGACTAAATCAAAATTATTGATCCATGGTAACTGATCATAGTAACCAAATTGGCACTTATAAGAGTGAGTTTAGAAGACATTACCATTATTTGTGATTTCTAAAATTCGGTTGAACTGTATCTCTATGGTCCTGAAGCTTTGTCAAATGGTGAGGCTAGGGAACTTTAGGAACTTCATTTGACTAGAAGAAAGCTAGAACCTGAATCTTACTTGAATATTTGGAGCCAACTAACGTCAGTCCTCTTTAAGCAATTACCTTTTATTTTAATTGACTTTTGACTTTTGACTATGTCTCCACAGCCTTCATTCAGGATTTGGTAAATGAGCATCCTTGAAAATCAACTTGGTCATAGGGGTTCTATGTTCTGGGCTCATTTGTAACTGTTTTCGCTTTTTTTTTGAATTTTTTCTGCTCCCTTGGGGAGTTAAGATAGTATATCTCCCCTCCTTTGTATTTTAACCTCTTATATTAATGAAGTGTTCCTCTTATTGATAAAAAAAAGTCGACTTGGTAATTTCTGCCCTTTTTTTTCAATCAATTGGTACTGTATGGTTTATGTTTCATTTTTTTTGATCAATAACTGAATGAGATTCATTAAATAAAAATCAAGAAATTGCAAAGAGAGGAGGGGAGATAAACTTTCTTGGCTCCCCCCCCCCGACAAAGGTGGAAACGAAAATTACAATATAGCCCAGAACAAATTGTTTCTGCCCACCCCTTGCTTGGCCAAAACATCAGCCAAACAATTAGCATCTCTCTTAGTCCAGTGTAACTGAATTTCCATTTCTTGAGTTAGGAACCTGAATTTCCTTTATCCATTTATGTAGTCCCAGAAGCCTGTCTCCTCCTTTTGAAGCCATCCAATAACGAGCTTTGAGTCCCCTTCAATTATTAGCTTGGAAATATTTAATTCCTTGGCCTTCGGAATTCCTTCCATTACAGCATAGATTTCAGTTCTCAACGAGCCTGAGAAATGAGCCCTAATGAGACCATCCTCATCTTTGAAAATACTTCCAATACCTTAAGGTCCTGGRTTACCCTCTCTTCTACCGTCAAAATTCATTGCAATGGATATAATGTGCTTGAAGGAAGGATTTTGTTGAGCTAAAGCGTTGAGGGGTCCAAGAAGGTCTAAGAACAATTTTCAATGGAGCAGAATCAGCCTCTTCCCTCCACTTCCTAACAGATCCGYAGGTGATAGACCTTCAAATATTTTCATATCGTTACCCAATGAATCACCCTAGATGAAATTGCTTCAATTAGGTCTGTTTGACAAAATCCTTCCTTCAAGCACAATTACCTCTGCTTGACAAAATCCTTCCTTCAAGCACATTATATCCATTGCAATGAGCTAAAGTGTTGCCTAGGCATCAACCGAGTGACCATTCAAGTGATAAGGGAGACCTCTCACCTAGGCAACCAACTAAACCATTTTTTTAGAAAACTAAACATGTGGTGTGGATATAAACTTCTCAATGTGAGAATATGGTTAACTGTGCTCTATTCTTATACTGACGTGTTTGCATAAATCATGTTGATAGGAATATTTATTGATTTAAAAAGGTTTGCGTTTTGTTATGAAAAACAGGTGTAACTCATCCTTTTACTGATTTAATTTATGGTTTAATAATTTGTCATGAAGATGCAATAAATAAGGTTTCTGGATGGCTATATACATAATTTATGAAACATGTGTTCATATTTGTTAATTTTTTATGGTATAAGCACCAACTTGCCCTGTAGGCCAAGATACATAAGCATCGTCCAGCTGCTGACTTCACAATTTAGCCCCAGTAAACTATTTTAAAATGGAAATTCACCCTAGAATTTTGTGTTTGTCCACATCTACATATAGCCCATAAAATTCTCTTCGAGCACATATATTAAATCTTCTTGTGATACAAATGCTCATTTTGTCACCTATTTTCTTGTGTCAGTGGATTTTGTTTATTCTCTTCTAGAAATGGCTAATCATTTATCTTATCTGAACAAGTTAAGACTAATAGTTGGTGGTTTTAGCAGGATACTGACAAACAATTGGAAGAAAAAAATCCTGGACAAGATCTCCAACTTCCAGTTCAGGGATATGCAGTGAGATTTTTGAAATATAATGACTCCCTCAATCATCAGTTCCAAGCTGAAGCACCAGCGACTCCTGACAGGATATCTGATTTGGGTATTCAGGAAATGTCATGGGAAGATCAATTTTCAGAAGTATGGGTCAAGTTTTTAATAATTTTTTATCATGCATTGAAGCCTGTAGTGATTGCTGTTGGATTCTTTGTGTGCTTGTGTTCTGCATTTTCTTGCTTCTGCCTGTCTGTTATTTTATGGTGGCTTCATGCGGACCATTATAAATTGAGCTTTTCTCTTTGTAGGAAAGCCTTTTCTATACAGTTCCCCCTGGTGCAATGGAGAACTATAGAAAATCTGTAGAATCTTACTGGGCTGAATATGAGGTATGCTTGCTAGAATATTCTCTACGTAATAATTTTTATTTATTGGAAAAGTAACATTTTTCTACATATTTTTTCTCCACCCTTTCATCACACTCATATTGTTTATCACAAAAAAAATATTGGCTATGGAAGCTGAAAAAAGAGGAAAGTTCACATGCACAGAGCACTCCTTTTCTCAAAAAAAAAAAAGGAATATTGAGGTGGAAGACAATCTCGGAATGATAGTAAACTGGTTTCAAAGTAATAGCTCAGGCACATGGCATTACAGATTCATAATAAGAGATGAAGCATTTGGCTAGGCATGTAAGTGTGGCATATATCTGGGTGCAGATATCAGCAAACCTTGACTGATGCATTGAGTTGACAAGGAGTGCAGAGAAACTGATTTTTTTTGGTTCTATTTGTCTTTCAGTAGCTGTTTCTAAATATGTAAATAAAGGAACATATAATTGGTTAGGTAGTGGGGCTGGCCCGAATTTAAGGGGCTCTAGGTACACATTTAATTTGTAAATCATTCTTTTTTTTGACAGATGAATAAAATTCTAAAAATTGCCAACAAAAAACACACCAACAATTAACAAAACATTTCTGATGAGTGAAATTCATATTGATTGCAGAAGTTATGTCTAACACAATTCTCCTCACACCCCAAATAAAGAAAAAGATAATAAAAGAAAAGACAAACAATAAAACATTTATGATGAGTTATGAGTGGAACTGACTCTGTTATTGGGCATTAAATTTATTGATTTTTGCATACATACTTTGGGTTGAACATTTGCAGCTATTGGGCATTAAAGTTATTATTGATTATCCTGGTCATCCTGATTTTTTTCTTGCATTTATTCTTCTCAATGTTTCCCTAACTAATGTTTAATATGGTTTGCTTTTCAGAAAACTGGTAGTGGGGCGCAACAAGAGGAAATTGAGGCACCTACAGATGATGGTGTATCAGGTATCGTTGGGTGCACTGTGGTCTGTTTTGTGCATGTTTCTTGCTTGATTTTACTCTCTTGACAAGCTTTGTTTTGATTCAGAGTTTGGATCTCGAGATAATGCATATGAAGAGGATGAAGGAGAGACAGGTGCATATTACTTGCCTTGTGCTTTTGAAGGTAGCAAGTCATCAAAGTTTGCCCAAAAGAGACACAAAAGCTTGCAGAAATCATATAGTGCAAGATCCTATGATTTGGGAGCTGATTTGTCTTATGGGCAATGCATGGAAAACAAACCAGCTACTCAGTCATCCTTGCTAACAGGGAAAAGACCAACCAATAGCTTAAATGTTGGCTCAATTCCCATAAAACGTATGCGTACTGCTTCAAGACAGCGGGTTGTATGTCCTTTTGGTGGTGGAGCTACTGGGAGTGCACAGGCTGCCAATAAAACGGATGTTTCAAGTGGTGATACTAGTTCTTTTCAGGATGACCAGAGCACTCTGCATGGTGGATCCCAATTCAGGAAAACTTCAGAGGTTGAGTCCACTGGAGATTTTGGAAAGCCATTGTCGTATGATTGTACAGAAATATCAAAACCAAAAAAGAAGAAGAAGACCAAGCATCTGTTATATAAGAGTTCATTGAATTCTACTGACACTGGGAGCTTTGTTATGCCTGGAAAAGTATGGATATTTCCATTGTCTTTATATTTTGTATTCTTACCAGCTAGATCGTCCTATTTTTAAATATTTGCACTTTTCAGGGTGCTGCTTATGAACAGAGGTGGCAGTTGGACTCCATTGTTCAAAATGAGCAGGTAAACTTTTATATTTCWGTTATGTAATATAAGTTGCTTGTTACATACCACTATTGATCATCAAATTTGAAAAGGGAGATAAATAACGAAAACGTTACTTGATATGTGACATATTTAATTTTCTGGGCAATCTAATTCCTTGACAATAGCAATGTAGGACATGAAATATAAAAGTTCTAGTGTGTGCATGGTGTTTTAAAGTGAGAACCACAATTAAGGCACCAAAGAATCCTAGTAGTGATATATGACATATTTGTTTTATCATACAGTCTAACTGGTCCCTTCTACAAACCCCTCACTTTAGCTAGGTCTTCCCGAAAAAGTTCCCCATCTCCATATGAATTAGGGCCATACACATTCTTTAAGACCCATCCCCTCGATCACTCACTTTTTTTTTAATCTTTTATTGAGTTCGAAAATTGTCCTATCAATTCTGCCTGAGCTCCAACTCATTCTTCCAAATCGTAAGTATTCCACAAGATGCACTCCAAGAAGGGGCAAAAGACTAGCACAACCCTCTACTACAGATACTCCTTATCTATCTTCTGTCCTGTTCTGAAAGCTTTATTTCTTGTAGCATTACAACATCCAGTCTCTCCTTTCTCAATACAATCCTAATATTTCTCCTCATTTTTGCACTCCCTAGTTCCCTTACAGTCCATCAAAGAATCTTCATTACTTATCATCTCTCTTTTGCTCACTCATCTGGTTCTTTTTTTTAATCAGCAACACATAAATGATTTCATTAAATAAAAAAAAACATATACTGATATACAAGAAGTTGTGGGCAGAAAAAAGGGCCCAAAAGAAAATCCCACTAATTACAACACAGCTCCAAACATAGCTCAAAGGAAATCCCACTAACTACAACACAAACCCAAAACATAGATTGTCTTTGAACTCCTTGCTTAGCTAGACCATCAGCTATTGCTGTTAGCTTATCTCCTAATTCATCTTATTTGAATCAACATGTCTTTAGAAATTTGCTTGAAGCGCCTGAGCTCATTCCTTCTCTTCCATTTTACTCCTCCCCCCTTCTTAAGCCAGTTTACAACAATTTTTGAGTCCCCTTCGATAATCAGCCTGTGAATCCCCAATTATTTAGCTTTTTCAACACCATACATTGCTGTCATCAATTCTGATCTCACCACATCACCATGCTGAATTGGACCTTAGAACATAGCTAACATATTTCCACTCTTTTCCCTTATTACCCCACCAATACCCAATGGGCCAGGATTTCCCAAACAGCTGCTATCAAAATTTAGTTTCTTCTACCCAGCATCTGGAGGGGACCAGATTTCATTTACAATAGATCTTCTAGATGCAGTGATTGCAATTGTTCCCCATGATCTGAAGAACCACTCCCAGATATAGTTAGCAAAAGGACAGGAGATTAAAAGATGAAAGACAGTCTCACCGTGCAACTTACATAAGGAGCACCAGTTTGGAGACAAGCACCAAGTTGGTCTTTTTCTTTGATGCAAATCACAGGTATTAATGGAGCCATGGAGCACTTCCCAACAGAAAGCATTGGCTTTAGGAGGGGTGGAATGAAACCAAAACTCCTTGACAGGGAGAGAAGGAGGTGGCAACAAGAGAATTCAAAAAGAATTTGCAAGAAAAAGACCTTGACTGATTGAGTACCCAAACTCTAGAGTCTGAACCACTATCCCCCAAGACCACTGAATTCAGCAAATTAACCAGAGCAGAGACACTAGARATTTCAGATTCTCTCAGATTTCTACTAAGACCCAGATTCCAACTCAAGTTTAACTGTGAAGAGGAAGAACTGATAGAATCATTAATAGGTTTTACCTTGAGACTAGAAAGAGCAAAGAGGGAAGGGAAAACCTCAGAAAGGGGGGGGGAGGGGGGGGGGCATCCCCGAAGCAAGTGTCCTCACAAAATCTAATTTTTTGACCTAAAGCCAAATCATAGCTTATGTGGGGAAGAAACAAAGGAAGAATGTCATGGATGGCCTTCCATGGAGCAGTCAACGTAGCTCTATGCAAGCAGCCCGCATCCCAACCATTGCTTGATAGCTCATGGATACTTGATATAACTCTAGTCCACAATTTCTCATTTTCTTTTGGGAACCTCCAAAGCGATTTACTCAACAAAGCCACATTCTTCAACATTACATTTCCAATTCCAAATCCCCCTTCACCTTTCAACTACCTAACCTTTTCCCACCTAACCAAATGATCGTTTTTTCCTTTTCCCAGGCTCCCACAGAAAGTCCCTCATGATTTTCTCAACTCTCCTTATCACAACTTGGGGCATCCTAAAAACCGACATGTAATAGACAATCACTCTTCTGGTTTCCATCCTTGTCATAAGACACTCAATACGCTAATTTTTCCACTTCACTTATCTATCTCCTCCTACATCCTTCCTAAGATAGACTTTCAGTTTAGTGGGTGATTGGGCACTCTTCTAGAACTCTTTGGTTCCTTCTCTTTCTTTTTTGATGGATCATTGTTTCCTCCCTCTTTTTCTTGATCTGAACCAACTTCCCCTTTTCTTTCTATCGATTCTGAATTGAGCTTCTGTACCTCCACACTTTTCTCATTCTGCTCCTCCAATGCAACTATAATTGCTAAATTTCCTAGGACCAGGTCCATAATCTCCTTCTCCAATGTCATTCCTCCACCTCCTTCCTTTTCTAATGTACTTTAGTCATTTTCTGTAGCTGGATTTGCAATGCTAATAGGAGGGTTTGTAAAGATTAGGGGTGACAAAAGCAAAAGAAGTGCCAGAGCAGGGGATAAAAGGGGGAAGAGACTCCTTGAACCAGACGAACACTATCCTTCCTAGAGTCTGGCTTTAAAGGGTCAGATTCCTTTTCACACCACCTATTAGAAGCCTTTTGGCCTGTTGGATTAAATTCAAAAAATTTCAAAAATTTAACCCACAAAGGAAAGAAATCCGTTCCTAAATAGTTTCAACTTTTCAGTTTCCAAAACTTGACATCTTTTTGACCCTTTGGGTGATCAGCTTCTTCCACATGGCAGCCAGCTGTCCACTTCAGCATCGTCTTCTACCTTCATTCTGGGGAACTGGAGTGTTGCTTCAGCCTCTGATGCCAACCAGATTGTTCTCCGGCAATCATTGGCGAAAATCTCCATCTGCTTGCAGGTCTTGCAGACAGTGCACCTCACACCACTGCATACTACTGGTCTACTGCAATCTTGTGGAAAATATGCTCCTGCCACTGCCAGCGGTTGAATGGCAGACCAAGAAGCTTAATGACATGGCTACCTTATGGGAAAGTCTTCTGTTTGAATCTCCCCTAAATCTAGGATTGCTTTCTGTTTATCAAACAGAAATAGAAACATCTCCTTTCAAATTTCTCCATGACTGCTTCCAGAATTTCTCTCCAATCCTCAACTTTATTTTTTGCTGTCATTCTCTTGTCCCAATCTCTCCCACATTACTTTTGGAAAAATTGCAGAAATGGTATCAATTTTCTTCTTGTATTGCAATTATTGCTATTTGTTCTTGTTTAGTATCTAACCTCTCCTCTCTGGTGCCTAACTGTTCCTCTTCTCCCAAATTAATGGTATTTTCAGTTTTCAAATGCTCCCCATACTTTAAAACAAGCTCTGCTAATGCCGCAGCCAACATAAACCATCCCTGTTTTCCTCTGCCTTCTGGTAAGTGATAAGCAAATCATTTGTTTCTTCCCCTGGCAAAGAATTCTGTTAAGGTAAAACCAGCTATGATTGTTTCTTCTGTTCTCTACTAAGAATCTCTTTCTGTTTCTGACCAGCCCGTTCCTCCATCCTTGCTTCACTGAAAAGATTAAAGTGTCCACAAAACCTTTGAATCAGTTTAATACCTCCATGTCCAGTATAACCATTGCCCTCCTATCTTCTTTGGTTTTCAGATTTGGTCTTCCTATCTTTTTCAGCTTAAGTTCTTTTTCTTTTTTTTTTTTTTTTCTCCATCTAGTGACCTGCTTTATGTTCTCCATCTCCCATGCATGCCTAATTGTTATCCAGCTTAAACATTCTTCCCTTTGAAATGACCAAGCTAATCTCAATTGGCTTTGCCAGATACATTTCCACATTCTTCATTGAACATGATCCTATTTTATTGTTCTCTTCCTTGACTTTTATTTCCTCTGTGGTGTTATTGGGGTTGGGAAAGTGGGCAAGCTCCAGTAGTTGGTACATCAATAATTGGTTTGGTATTTTAGGAAGGACAGAGGTAGATGACGGGCAGTTTTGGTATTTTAAGAAAAATTGAGGGGGTTTCGAGGGGCTTTAATGATGGAGGTGGCTGGCAGAACTCGAGAAATGGAAAAGGGGGTGGGGCCTAGATGAAGGTGGTTGAAAGAGATAGAAAGGATTCAATTATTGCAGAAGACAATAGAGTCGGTGAGAAGATTGGGGAGGTGGGATATGTGGACAACTTTAAGAACAAAGTAACAATGGTGGAAGCTGAAAATTCAAATAAGAAGAATAGACCCTTTGAAGAAACAGGTGGGGTCCAAACCTTGACTTTCAATTTCATCTTTAGGTTTCAAGAGGCCGAAGTTTAAAAGGCCTAGGATGTTGGGAAGGAGAGGTTTGATGGACAAGAAAAAAAAGGAAAGGTTGGTTTGCGCGGTTACCAAATTTGACAAAAATGGAACTAAAAAGCCAAATGGACGAACAAAGGAGGATCACGTCAGAAGTCGGGCCTCTTTTGTGGTTGGAGCAAGGTTCAAAGTATTGATATGTTACGCCCCGTATCGGGCGTATTGTATCGTATCTTTTAGTCTTGATACACCTATTACATGTGTTTTGGGGCCCCCATTTATTTCAATAAAAAAACTTAAAAAATATCTCTAAAAATCAAATTTTGAAAAAAGAAACTAAAAAAAAACATTGAGTGTTTGGTTTTAGTATTGGTACGCCCTTTGCCAAGACACAGGGGCGTATTGATACTTTGAACCTTGGGTTGGAGGAGAGGGTCTGTGCACTTAGGTTGAAAAAATACTGCGGTGGCCTGGATTACACTAGAAATTGAGGTTGATGAGTCGACTCTCCAAGAAACAAGGAATGGTTTGGTTTTAGTAGACCTGCTGGCTTTTGAGAAGTTTATCCCCAACAAGAGTGGGGGGTTGAAAGAGAGGACCGAGGAAGTTGAGGAAATCATTGCGGATTTTGAGATCGGGGAAGCGATGGGAGGAATAGGGCCGAGAGAAGATGGAGATGAGTGTGCTTAGGAGTCAGGATGAGAATCACGTTGGAGATGCCTTTTGTTTTAAGGTGGTGAAGGTCGGAAGGTTGGGTGTAGACTTTGGTCGAAGAAGCAAGAGTGAAGAGAAAAATGTGAGGATCAATGAAGTGAATGGTAAGAAATCGTGCAGCCTAAGGAACGCTAATGTCCGTGTGACGAAAATCTTCTCTAGGTTAAAGCTTGGTCTGGTAGGGGCAAGACCAAGGTTCAAAATATCGATATGCCCGATACGCCAGTATGGACGTATCGTGCGAATCAATATTGTTTTCTTTTAGTTTTTTTTTTTTAATTTTTTTTTGAAACCGGTTCAGGGGGCTGGTTTAGGGCTCCTCCACTCCCTGAACCGGTCAGACCCCCAATACACCTACTATAGGGGTGTATCGGAGGGGTCCCAGAACGATACGTATCGGCTGATACGGGCCGATATGTGTTGATATTTTGAACCTTAGGCAAGACCCACAAAAACTACAAATGGGTATACAAGAGAAGGAGAGACAATTTGTATCCTGGAGCTACACCTAAAGGAACAATAATGGAGGGGCAACCACTGGATTCTCATTCGGGGAAGGATGTGCAAGCCATCATGGAGGGCGATGAGGGTTTTGTGTCTAGTACAAGCATGAAGGTGCAGAGTTGAGTTTAAGGGTAATGTTTTGGGCGGTGTGACTCTTCAAAAGTTGGTAGACAGAGAGGTGGCGATCGGAAAAAGTTTGGGTCTCTTTTTTTTGTGGTGGTGTAGTAGGGTCTTGAGGAATTTGAAAGGAGAAAAAGGGAAGAGAAGTTAAAGAAAAAAGCTCTGTTGAAAGGAGGTGAAGTTTGGGACGGGGGCGCTTTAGATCAGGAGGATAAGATCCATAGTTGTCAAGGTGATGCCTAGGCGGGCGCCTTGAGGCTTGCCTTGCCTAATCGCCAAGCAGTTTTCTATAGCGTGTTAGAAAAAAAAACTTATATTCTTAATTTTTTGAGGTTATAATTTTAAAGTAGACATTTTTTTAAACTAAAATATTCATTTTGTGTATTTATATATTAATTATTTTTATTATTTTTTTATTTGTTAGGGTTTAATCAACACAAACATTGCCAAATGCTGTATTGAACCCTGAAAGACTTAAAAACCTGAACCAAAGTAAGGAAGAACTAAAATGTTGTCCAATCAACACATTTACTTCTTTTTCTTTGCTAATATTGTGTGTCTATATACCAACTTTCTTCTTCCACCTTTTCTTTTCTTCTTTTCCTATAACAGAAATAGGGGTTCAGCCCCTATATTTTTTGAAATTTCTCTTCTTTCTTTTTTTTTTTTTCTCATATGTTGATTTTCTATACTTAAACGTGAAGTTCATACTTGTCTTATGATAATTATGGATAACTATTAAGGAAATGTGATTATAGAACCTAGGGAACTACCCTAGGATACATACTTTTACTTGAAAAAATCCATCGCCTAGGCGCCCACCTAGGTGACTAGGCGACAAGGCGACAAGGCGCCCTACTGTTGCCTAGCCTCGCCTTGGCGCCTCGAAAACTATGATGAGATTGTGGATGAAGATTAAGCATCTCTACCAGGTTTTACAAGGTTTTTAGCTCAAGTCCAGTTAGTATGAGACTATGAGTCTTTGGTATGTAAGTTGTGTGTTTGTTCTTTAGGTGTTAAGTGGTCTTGTCGTTTGTTTGTTGGGTCATTTAGTTGTTTTTTTTTTTTTTTTTGATGAATGAAGAAATTTATTAATTCAGAAAAAACACCACTGAAGAGGCACGAGCTGTTACCTCTTCAGAAAAGTATTACATCAAAATAAAACAGAATTAACCATAAATAAAATTACAAAGCAGCCCAAAATAGCTGCTCCCTTGTAGCCCCCTGC